CAATCCCAGCACCTAGCCAACAGCCACCAGCCCCGTAGAAGTGACACCTCAATCAATTCATGCCCCTTCCTATATAACCCAGCACCTTTCCCTAATAAAGGGAACTCTCCGGTGAATTGCTGCTGTGTGTCGCTCCTTTCCTTTCAATGGGAAACTCAAAATTTTTAAAAACTGAAGTGCCCGGGTCTATCTCAGCCTCACAGAGACTCTGTAAAGGTCTCAGATAAGGTGAGGTGGAGCAAAAGGGCTTTCCAGGTTGACATCCAAGAGGAAGGTGATAGTTTGGGAGAATTAGAAGTTTCCAGCATGGAGTCACACTGTTGGGAATCCAAGAATGCCAGGCTAAAGATGCAGGATATTTTATTTTTCAATAAAAAGGGAAAGCTTTTGGCAACTTTCTATTTTGGAGACAGTACAGGCATACCTCAGAGATATTGTGGGTTCAGTTCCAGACCACCGAAGTAAGACAAATATTCCAGTAGCGAGTCAAATAAATTTTCTGGTTTCCCGGTATACCTAAAAGTTATGTTTACACTATACTGTAGTCTATTAAGTGTGCGATCAACAGTTCCCTAGGGACGCCCTCTTTTCTTCTCCGCATAACTGGAAGTTCCAGGTCCTAGGAACACCGGCATTTCCAGGACTCGGCGGGTCATAGGGCCCTCATTGCCACCCCCCCGCCCCCGCCCCCGCCCCCGCCCCACTACAAAATGCTATAAACAATGGCCGGGACCTGCCCAGGTGTGGTGTCGAAAGCCGGGCAGGAGGTCTCGGAGAGGAAGAGTATAGGTGCTGGGATTGACAGGGGAGGAAGCAGAGGCCGGCTGCCCTTTGGCGAAGAATATTGCCTCTCTGCAGCCGCCGTAGCCAAGCCGGAAACGTAGTCGGGCCGTTTTTCTCGTCGGAAGAGACGGAAGAGATCTGGCATGGCTGAACTCACAAGTGTTGAGGAACCGTTGTGCTCTGAGCAGTTCGGCTCCGGGGCGGCCCGGAGCTGCCACGCCGCCGCCGACGGGAGCCTGCAGTGGGAGGCCTGGGGGTGGTGCAAGTGGGGGCTCTCCGGGGCCTTCACAGTGAAACCCGAAAAACAAGATGGGGTTGAGGGAACCGCTCCCGAGGCCGCCTCACCACTTCTATCTGGTCTCCTGGCTGTGTTCCTGCCGCAGGGTTACCCCGATAGCGTCAGCACAGACTATCTGCCCTACCAGCTGTGGGATTCTGTGCAGGTCAGCCCGGCTGGCTTGGGGAGGGGGCGGCATATAACCGATGATAAGGGAGACAATGTGGGCCACCTCTCCCCACTTTACAGACTGGAAACGGAGGTCTAGGAGCGGAGTTATGATACATACCAAGTGACACACCTAGGAGAGCCGACTATAGAGCTTAAACCTCCGTGCTCCTGCACCTACTCCTCACTCCACTTATTTTCTTTTCCAGGCCTTTGCTTCCAGCCTTTCCGGCTCCCTTGCCACCCACGCAGTCTTGGTGGGTATAGGGGTGGGGGACGCAAAAGCCTCTGTTTCAGCTGCCACGGCCACCTGGTTGGTGAAAGGTGAGCTGAGCCCTGAAGCCTCACTTAACGCTGCCATCCCTCTGGCCCCATCATTTTCTTGTGACTTGGAAGCCCAGCACTTCCTTTCTCCTTCTCCCAGTGTCCTGGTCTCTATCTCTGGTCTGTGATGTGTGTGTGGACTCGTGCCTGATTAGGTCCGGGACCCAAGTTTCCCTAGTGCCAAGAACAGTACCTTGTACCCTTTTTTTAAAAAATGCAGAATTCAAGTCAGTAAATTTTAAAGATTTTTATTGGCATTATGCAGTAATTAATTAGTTGCCCATCACTGGAATACCCTCATCCCGTGCACCAGCTTTGCAACCTCACTCTATTCCCCATGCATATTGTTCAGAGCCCCTAAATCATCTAGAGCCCAGATCTAAAGCCCCCTTCCATTTACCCCTAGGCTCTTCCTTGTTCTCACCAGTGCCTCTCTCCTCAGATTCAACTGGCATGTTGGGCCGCATCATCTTCGCTTGGTGGAAGGGGTGAGTTTGTCTTCTTGGTCATTAGACTTGGCCACCCTCTCCAGACAGGGATCAAGTCTGTCTCAGACCTGGCTGTATTTTAGCTCCCCTTCCTACCAGTCTGCAGACGGGAAATTTAGCATTTAACGTCATCAGGGCTAAGGAGTCTTTAGTGATTACCCAGTCCAGGCGGCTTGCCCAGGGTCTCCTAGGAGTGAAGCCACAGGGCTGTTGCCATGATCTGATTTGCCTTCAAAAGCACTGATTTGCTGCTCTGCTGCCCATCATGGGAAAACAGCCACAAGCTCCAAGTGACCTCTGTTTTCTTGTTGAAAGAGAAGCATGAACAAGACAGTGCCTAAGTCAAAAGGAATGGCTTATTCCAGAGGCTACTTGGGTGGCTTAGACACTAGGTTGGGTTTTGTTGACCTGATGTGAGGAGTGGGCTTGGGCCCTCAGGTGTCTGTCCCACGTGGAATCAGCATTACCATTTATCTAGAAGACAGTAAGGATCTCATGCTGCCTACTTCCTCCTCAAGTCAGTATTGAGTGATTAGGACCTCAGGCGTGATTTAGTATCTGCTATTATTTGGGTTGTGAGGTTCAGTGAAAGAGTTTATGCAAAGTGCTTAGCATGTTGTGTGGTACATAATAAGTGTTCAGTAAACACTCACTGCTGTTAACAGCTTTGTGCCTCACAAGCTGTCTGTATATCATCTCTAATCCTTAGAAGAACTTGTAGAGTAGGATTGAATGTGAACATTTTACAGGTATGAAGCAGACTTAAAAGAGGGAAATTAGTCACACAGCTTCTAACTAGTGAGATGGGATTTGAACCTAAAGCCTGTACTCTTTCTACAGTATCAGGCTGCTTTACTAGGCAGAGCCCTAGACCAGGCCCATATGTTCTAGTCCTGCCTTTGCCAAATATACCCTCAGGAGCTGCCCATGTGTGTCCCATATCCCACGTAGGAATGCCCCCTTTACCTCCAGGAGACTTTAGATTAAGGGTTTTCTGCAAATTCTGAGCTGGGCTGGGGCTGCAACATCTCCTGACATTGGACTGTTGGAGAAGTGATCCCCAGGTGTTTGTGCATGGGCCAGAAGTCACTCTGCCTAGCAAAAGAGGCAGCCATCTTCTTACAGAATAGAAATTTCCTAGGCCTGGATGTCAGAGCCTGGTTCTTCTGGCCTTTTTCCCCCACTTTCCATGTGATTGAAGTCACATTCCCTTTTAGGGCTGGTTATCTGTAACATGCAGGGGTTACACTAAATGTAGTATTTACCAGTCCAAAGTATGTGACGCCTTGCTGGATACCCTGGATAAAGCAGGAGGAAGGGGAGGGGAGATGGTAGAGGAACCCAGGATAACCTTTCCTAAAGGAGAGCTGGAGGGCAGGGAGCACCCAAAAGAAAATTTTTTCTTTGGTGGATCATTCGTTAGTAAGGAGGAAACACTGAGTGACCACCGAAGGTACTCACAGCTAATGGTGGCATTTCAGGCAGCAGTGACAGGGTGTTGGGACAGATGTCTGGCTGGGGTGTGAGTTTTGCTGAGCCTTTTGGACCCTACCTCAGCCTAAAGGATGGCCTGCATTGCCCACAGGATGTGTTTTCTCCTTAATCCAAATTACAATCCAACCTCTCCTCCCCAACAGGAGCAAACTGGACTGTAATGCCAAGCAGTGGAGGTAAGGAGAGCTGGAACAGGGGAGGAGCATCTTCTATTATGAAGGTCTCTTAACTCTGACTTGGAACCTCTGATTCTTTTCCCCAGGCTTTTTGCTGACATCCTCAATGATGTAGCCATGTTCCTTGAGATTATGGCTCCCATATACCCAGTGTGTTTCACCATGACCATATGCACCAGCAACCTGGCCAAGGTAGCCACTTCTGGGGCACTCTACCCGAGATATCTACCTTTTTGGTGCTGGGTGTAGCTTCAGTTGGGGCTCATAGGTGAGGTCCTGGGTCCTGTATTCAAGGCACCTCTAGAAGAGTAAAAAAATTCAGATGTTTCTACTTGGACCATATTTTTTTTTATCTTCCTCTAGCCAGACAGCCTCTAGTGCTTAATAGTCAGTCTATGCAGTGTCTGAAGCCACAGGACTGGTGAGTAAACTAGCTCTGAGCTGAGAGATAGAAGGGGTGATCTAAAGTCAGCATTTGGAACCTGCTCCAAGCTACCTTTCATTCTTTCCATTAAGTATTTATTGAATGCCTGTTGCATGTTTGGCACGAATATGAGCTCTCCCATCTTTGAAAAAAAGCCACACATAATTAAATAAATGCTTTAAGAATTATAGCTATAGATATTTCAGATGAGAAGTGTAGGGGCTGTAAGAGGGTCCAGATGAGAAGTATAGGGGGCTGCAAGAAGGAGAGATGCAGGTGTCCTGGGAGGTCAGTGCCACTAGTGTGGTTTTGGTTTGGCCTAGAAGACCTGGATAGGCCTTAACTGGGTCAGGAAGAGAGTGGAGTTAGTTATAAGCAGGCAGAATATAGGCATACATTTGGACACCAGACTAGGCCTGGAGTTCAACAAGGGTGAGGATGCAGCCAAAGCAGAAGTTGGAAGCTAGAGAGGTTCTAGACTAAGAATGGTCTTTGGGCCTCCACCTTGGGGAAGGAAATTGAATTTTCTAAGGCCTGGTCCACAGCGTGGTGTGGCAGGCAGAACTTTAGTTTTCTCTTGGTACAGGACAGGGGAGGTGGGCCTAGTGGACATGCAAGTTGAAAATAAGATACCAAGGACAGCATTCAGTTAGCTGTTGTCACCTGAGGCCTGATTTTCTCAAGCTGGTTGAGCCGTTTACTTGGCTCAGCCACAGAAGCACCTGTATTGCCATAGCATCGAGCCACTTTGACCTTCCCTCTTCCATTTCTCTACCCAGTGCATTGTGAGCGTGGCTGGTGGAGCCACTCGGGCTGCACTGACCATGCACCAGGCCCGAAGAAACAACATGGCTGACGTGTCAGCCAAAGATAGCAGCCAGGTGAGCAGCCAGAATTAGAGGGACTGGGGGTGGAGCAGGCTGGGCCCAGTTTGGGAGTACGGAGAGAAGCACCTGAGTGCTCCTGGGGGTAGAAGTGGGAGGCATGCAGGAGGAAATGTTGGTGCTGCCTGTGCTGACTTAGGCAACAGATAAGGGAGTAAGGCTTAGAGGGGTTCAGTCCACCTGGGTATCCTGAGGCACGTCCCTTCTCTCAGGAAATTGTTGGACTAGTTCTTCCCCATTTTCTCTTTATTGGTTGTTAGGAAAGGAAGAATAAGTACAACCCAGGCCCTGCTCTTTAGGGTCTCCCAGCTTCATGGTAAAGCTTCATGCCTGTTCTCTTTCCAACCCCCAGTGCCCCCCATGACCCCAAAGCTGTATTTTCCAAGGCCACAAGGCTTCCTCAGTTCCCAGAGGCAGTGAAGCATTCTGGGCAGCACAGGGTACATGCATAGTCCCACAGCAGGCCTCTTGCTTTCTGCTGTGCTGCTAGCATCGACCATCCTGTCTCGGGGAGAGGAGGTCCCTCTACTCCTGAGCTCCCAAGACTTCTAGTCGCCAATATCTGTCACACCCACCACCTTTATTTTCCATGGCCCATCCCCTTGCCAGGATGGCTGGGTAGGAAGAGCTCTTCAGTCTTGG